TAGAGCTCGGGCGTTGTGCTCCGCGCCAGGCCCGCCCCCTGTAGTCCCCGCCCCCAGAGCGCCGGCCGGCGTGCTCTGCGCCAGTCCCGCCCCGCGCACGTGTCGCGGTGGCCCCGGCTGCGGCAGAAGAGGTGAGCCACCGATGGGCGGGCGGTTCGCGGAGCCGGGACGGGCCCCCCTCCCCAGGGTCCCCTCCACCCTTGTGGTCGAGCCGCGGAGCCGCGGGGGTGCAACTTAGGCCCTCCCCTCCCCCCCCCGCCCAGAATGGACGCCCAGCGGGGAGCCCTCTGCAAGGGTTCCACAGGCCCTCCTCGCCCAGCCTGGAGCGCGGCCTTGGCGCTGGTGGGCCCGGGGGCGTTGGGACTTTGTCCAGGACCCTTGCTTTTCTAGCCTTAGCCGCTTCGTTGGGAATATAGGCCCAAGTGATGTGCCCCTTTAGGAATTTTCGTTAAAACAGGCCAGGCGGCACCCCACGTTCTTGTTTGCAGCAACGTACTTGCTAATTAAACAGCTATCACAGGCAGGCAGGAAGACAGTAAGCTTCAACCACAGTAAAATAATTATGAATTCTTGCTGAAATATTTACGGATGAAATAAGAGGACGCCTGGGATGTGTTTCAAAATAAGCCAGTTGGAGGAGGAATGTGGGTGGGAGAAGAGAGGAAACAAGATTGGCCATGAGTTGGTTGAAATTGGCTAATGTGCTATTTTGTCTACTTTTGTAGATATTTGTAATTTAGCATTAAATTTTTTTCTGAAATGAAAAGCTTGCTGTGAGGCCCTGGTAGCCTGTGTTCAAATACTGTGCCCGTGTTAGCTAGGGCTGCCAGGACAAGTCCTGGGTGGCGGAAATTTATTTTCTGAGGATCTGGAGGCTCAAAGTCCAAGATTACGGTGTCAGCATGACGTTTCTTCTGAGACCACTCTCACTGGCTTGTAGATGGTCACCTTCAGTCTTGTGCCCTCTAATAGTCTTTCCTCTGTCTGTGCCCTAATCTGTTCTCTTAAGGACACCAGTCATATTAGATTGGGACCTACCCTAATGACCTCGTTTGAAGACCTCATTTGTAAATAGTTACATTCTGAGAGACAGGGGGGTTAAGACTTCAGTATATGAATTTGGAGGGGACACACAACCTGTAACGTTGCCACTTCGCTAGTTTGGGGTTTCGACCAATTAATCTCTCTCTGCCTCAGTTTCCAGTGTTCAAAAATAGGGGCAATAGTAGTAATTAGGTCATGGAGTTGTGAGGATTCAGTTGTTGGACAATATAAAGTCCCAGAATTGTGTCTAGCATATAGGAAGTAATAAGTTGAACATAGGTGTCACCTATAAATTAGTGATCATAGGGCTTTACTGTGGGATGAGGAGTGGAGTGAGGCAGTTGGGTACTTTGTGCTGTGCCTAGCCATGGGAATAAAAGTAATAGTCACGGCAGTATCACAAGGGGTGTCTGCTACCTTGCCGGACTCAGTTGCCTTATGTGTGTTCATTCATAAACTCATCACAGCCACCCTAGGGATGCCATTGTCGGATGCCTGTTTGGCAGATGGGGCAGGTGCTGCACAGAGATGGAGGCTGGATTTGAACTCTGGCCCTGGAGCTCATGCTCTTAACCACCTTGCTGTATTGCCTCTGTTCAAAAGGATGTGACCCTGCGGTATGTTCAGTCTGCAGGCCGACCCAGGGGACTGTTGGCTGATTCTCTCTTTCTTGGCCCAGGTTGACAACGGTGGCAGCACTCATGGCCGGTCCCCTGTGGCGGGCCGCAGCATTTGTGCAGAGACATAGGACTGGCCTGTTGGTGGGTTCCTGTGCAGGCCTGTTCGGGGCCCACATCTCATACCACCTCGTCCCAGATCCCGTGATGCAATGGCTGTACCAGTACTGGCCTCAGGGTCAGCCAGCCCCACTCTCCCCAGAGCTGCAGGGGCTCTTCCAAGAGGTGCTGCAGGACATCGGTGTCCCCTCCGGCCACAGCTACAAGGCTTTCACCACGTTCACCTTCCAGCCCGTGAGTGCTGGCTTCCCGCGACTCCCTGCGGGGGCCGTAGTAGGCATCCCAGCCACCTTCCTGGGTGGCATGTTGATCAACACTGATCACCCAGTGGTTGTACACGGGCACAGAGTGAACTGGCAGAGCCCAGCAGGCGCCCGGCTGAGAGATTCCCTGACCCTGTCCCATGACGCCCAGAAGTTTGCCTTGGCCAAGGAAGTGGTGTACGTGGAGAGCGGTGCAGCTGCCCTCCAAGCCCTGCCGGCCCCAGCCTGCCTAGCGGGAACCTGGGCCCTGGGTGTGGGTGCCAAGCATGCCCTGGGGCTCTACGGAGGCCCCATGAATTTACGGGCTGCCTTCAACCTGCTGGCGGCCGTGGCGGGCTTTGTGGCCTACGCCTTGTCGGCGGACTCGCTCACTCATGCCCTGGAAGCCTGGCTGGACCGCCGCACAGCTGCCCTATCTGCAGCCTATGCCCGGGGCGGGGTGGAGTTCTATGAGAAGATTTTGTCGGGCAACGTAGCCCTGCGCAGTCTCTTGGGCGGTCCTGGAGAGAAGCTGTATACGCCCAGCGGGAACATCGTCCCCAGACACTGGTTCCGCATCAAACATCTGCCCTACACGACCCGCTGGGACTGTGTGCTGCAGGTGTGGAGGGCAGCACTCAACCCGCGCCGCTCCTGAGAGACTCCTCGCAAGGACAGAGGCGCCTCACGCAGGCGCTACTCTGCCGTTGACTCGGGGCTCTCGGTGCCTCTGGACCCACAGCCCAGTGTCAGATGAATCAGAGACTCTGGAATGAAACGGCCTAGCATCTACCCCGGTCCATGATCCCAGTGACCTTGGGCAAGTCCCTTTTGAATCTGAGCCTTGGTTTCCTCAGCTGTAAAATGAGGGTGTTATAAATTTCCTGGCAGGATTTGGGCATTGTGTGAGCTATGGACAAAAGGGCCTGGCCAAGAGGACACGCCGTAAATAAATGGGATGTCCCTCCTTGGTCTTTGAATTCTGGCAGGCTGTGGGGGTCAGGCCACTTCTCCCCACCAGAGGCGCTTACAGGACGTGAACCCTTCCCCAGAGTGAAGAACCCCCTGTAGTTCACCTAGTGGTCTAATCTCACTTCCTTCTACTGTGGGGGAGAGAAGAGCTTTAGAGGCCCAGGTGAGACGCTAGGGTGGCCCTGAGAGCCTGGAAAATGGGAGCCTGAGGTGGGGTTTCAGGGGTGGTGTATCCAGCACAGATGGCATGCTCAGCGCCCCTGGCTCTGAAGGGGAGAGAAAGCGTTGCTGGAACCTGGTGAGACCTATGGCGCAGGACACTTGGCAGGAGCGCTGGCCAAAGGAAGAAGGAACAAGGCATTGCGAAACCGAGGCCCTGCAGGGAGGGCAGGCGCCTGCTGATGCAGTCCAGAGCATGGGCCGTACCTGGCGAGGAGAGGGACTGTGGGGTGGCTGGGAGGAAGCAGGATTTAGGTGAGTGACATGGACTGGGCCTAGTGTCACACTCGGGGCCCAGGGGAATGCTGCACCCTTACCCTGTTTCCCCCGAGCCTTCTGGTGGTGGGTAGAGCAGACCCCACTTTTGATCCTTGGACAGGAGACCCCTTCCCAGAGAAGGTGAGGGCAGTTGTGGCCAGCAAGCCAGACTCACTCAGCCATTCATGTATTTTTATTGTCGATTATGATTTCCCTGGAAGAATGGAAGAAGTCAGGCCTGACGCCAGTGTAGTTCAGGGGAAAGAGACGGGGCCACACCCAGGGAAGGGCACAGAGCAGTACCAGGAAGCCCACTCAGCAGTGGCAGTTCCTGCAGGAGACTGAGTAGACAGTGAGCAGGGTGGGACGGCAGGTCTTCCTGCTAGGTCCGTCGCCGTGGCTGGAGATTGGTGTTCTGGCTCCATTCGACCAGCCCATGGGTCCCAGCATCAGGCCTGGGCAGACACCCCATCTCTCAGGTCCCGGGATGGCAGTGGGCACATGCTTGACGAAGGCAGAGGTGGATGGATGAGTTAGTGAGTAGGTGAACAAGTCTCCACTCTGGGAAATGCCACTTGAAGGGGCCCCTCGGCTTGTCACCCAAGTGCTGCCACCACGTGTGAGTGTCTGATCTTGGCTGGAGAAGTGTAGGTTGGGGTCTGGATTCGGTGAACTCCACCTGGGGGCACACCACTCCCCACCCCAACTACTTTCAGTACTGCAGGAGCAGGGCGGCGGCTTCAGGCGTTCCTGCTGACCTGCCCCCAAAGTAAGGAATGGGAGTCCCAGTGGTAAGGGGAGCGATGCCCTGAAATGGCTGCTTCTTTGCCTCCCTCTGCTCCACGTCACCAACTGTCTGTACTCATGAGCTGCTCCCAGTCCCCACGCATGCATGCTGCGTGAGGTGGTTCCACCTCCAAAACTTGGCTCAGAGCCCCCACCCTGGGAGCCGCCCTGCCGCCCCTGCTGTGTTCTGCGCATCCCGCATGCCCAGGCAACCCTCCATTCAGTCCTTGCCCTCCCCAGCTGGGTCCTCCTGGCCATTGTCCCCACCTCTCCCAGCTCTCGGAAGTGCAAGTCTGACTGGGTTCCGTCCTGCTTAAAACCCTCTGCAGGCATCCCCTAGCTTTCTGGCCAGAGCTGCATCTCTGAGCCCCGGCCTCATGACCTCTCCAGCCATCTGGTGTCCCCCAGCTGTATGGATCCTAACCTCAGCAGCACTTTGGTTCCTTCACTGCTGTCCCCCCCCTCCTTTTCCACACAGTGCCTCGCTCTGGGGCGGTCTCTCCCGCCCTGCCCCTGTCTCAGGTACTTAGAGCTCCTCCTGCAGGAATCCCGAACCTTCCCCATTCACGCCCGTCACATACCCTGTGCCTCTCCCCAGCCCTCAGTGCTAACTGTAAATAAGTTACCATGCAGTTAGGGCTTAGCCTCCCGCCTGCTGAAACGTACTGTCTACAAGGGCAGGGTGGTGTGTCTTGATTACTGCTGTGGCCTGAGGCCCTCCATAACATTTTTGAGGAGATGAACCAGGCCCTGAAGCTACAGCAGGCAGGCCTGGCTCCCTAGAGTCTGAGCCATTACAGTCCGGCTGGTGGCGCACGTGGGTGAGGCCATCTGAATCCAGTGTGACCCTGTCCTGTCTTCCCAACTTGGGACTTCCCAAGGGCAGGGCCTGGCCCGGATCTGAGACTGCTCTTCCGGTGGGGGAAACAGGACACTTCTAGTCACTTCCTGCAGATTTCCACTCAGGCCTCCAGGGCCCCCAAGGAGTTTTGGGCAAAAGGGGAGCCCCCCCAAGTTTTATGATATATGGTGCCCCTGCACATGGATTCAGGGGTTGATCCCAGAAAGATTCAGAAACATGGGCCAGGGCTTCACAGATGGGCCAGGTGGCAGGCAGCCTGTACGCGCTGCAGGGCATCTTTCCTCAGATGCAGGCTGCATGCCTCAGTCGTCGGCATTGCCCTGCGTCCCAGGAGAACGTTGTTCTACTGAGTACCCCCCCTCCCCGCCCCACTACATGTTCACGGTTCTCTGAGCGTGAATGTGCAAAGGTGCCCAACACCCTAGAACAATCCTCCACAGACCCCGGACTAGGCTAACTGACAGAGGGCTACATAAACACACAGACACCCCCCCCACCCCCACCCCGTGCATGCACATACACGCACACATGCAGACAGCGGGAACGCAGGGAAGGGGTCCCAGAGTCGTCATGCCATCGTTGGCTCTGTCCATTCCTGACCCTAGCAGGCCCCACTGCCTCGTCCAGGAGCCATAGCGTTGTGCCCCCTGCGGCCGTGCCCATAGCTGGCACATACACAGGGACCCCGCATCCGCAGGCAGGCACGTATCACAGGCCGGGGCTGACCCGTGCGCGTCCTCACCCAGTGAGGCCTCCTGCCCACTACAGCCCTACAGTGATGTCCATAGGGCCTTTATTATGCCCCAGACACTGTGCAAGGTTCCTAGAATCTTTTTTCACTTGTCCCCAAATTGGAACAGGTAGGTGGTAATGTTATTTCAATTTTACAGGCAAGGAAATAGCACAGAAAGGTGAAGAAATGGGCTGCAAACCATAAAGCTTTGAAAGTGACAGGACGAAGATTTGAAGCCAGCACCTGGTTGCAGATCCGCTTTGGGAGGCCTTCATTTACAGTGTCCTATTTATTCTGAAGGTTTCGTCGTGGAAACTTGTCCTGTGGCCTCCACAGCCTTTCTCCCCTGCTGGTTAGAGGTGACTTTCCGGCCTCACCTCTCATCAGGAAAAAGTCACTGAGCAGATCTTTCTGGAACTTCCAGGGGAGACCCTTGCAGCTAACTGAAGAGGAAGAGGCCACCCAGTCTATCAGATTTGGTGCTGAGGTGGGAATGGGATGGAAGGGCCAAGTCTTACCAAGCCCTCAGGCCCCAGCTGAGGACAGGGCTACCTTAGGAAGCAGAGAGAGGACACAGACTGGGCAGCCAGCTGTGGGGTCAAATGCTGGTCCTACCACTTCAGCAGAGTGACCTTGAACAAGTGATTTCACATCTCTATCCCCAAGTTTTCTTAAATGGGGATATTCGCATGTAGCTTACAGCATTGTTTTGATAATGAAAGTGAAATAAAGTTTGCAAAATGTGAAGCCCAACAAGAGTATATAGTAAGCTTTATTGTATTTTTGATAATACTGACCTTTCTTTCTCATGTACTCCATTTGACAGAAATTAGCCTTTTACAGTTTTACCTGTGACACTTTTACTTTTGTGACATGTACAATGCCGTGTAAATTAACCTCCATATTTTGTCAAAATACTGTCTTCATTCTTTGATCATGTCACATGCTGCACCTACCCACTCCCGTGCGCCCACGGCTTGAACAGATACTTCATCACAGGGACCGGGAAGTAAGAGGTCCATTCCAAATCTCAGCAAGAGGGAATACGCTAACTTTTTAAAAAATCTCACCACAAATTCAAAAAGATTGATCCAAAAGTTGAGCCATTACACATTCTATTACGAATTCAGTGTTAAGCCATAGACATAGGCTGATAAAATTACAGGTTACGTTGGAGGGCAACATTTCATGAAGAAGGCTGTGCTGCTTTCCTATCAAACTAGTTAGAGAGTGTCTGCATTTCCAAACTTGAGACGTTGCAGTCTCTTCTTTTTCTTTAATTTTTTAAATTTACTTTTTATTTTTTAAGATCTATTTATTTTAGAGAGAGAGCACGAGGCAGGGAGGGGCAGAGGGAGAGGGAGAAACTGGCAGACTGCACTCAGCACAGAGCCCAACATGGGGCTTGATCTCGACCCTGAGAGCATGACCTGAGCCAAAACCAACAGCTGGATGCTCAACTGACTGAGCCACCCAGGGGCCCACCCCCCTTTTTTCAGGTTTAATCTATTTATTTTGAGAGAAAGCATGTGGGCATGAGCCAGACAGAGAGGGAGAGAGAGAATTCCAAGCAGACTCCCCGCTGAGTGTGGAGGCCAACGTGGAGCTCTATCTCATGACCCCAAGATCATGACCTGAGCTGAAACTAAGAGTTGGACACCCTACCAACCGAGCCACGCAGGCGCCCTGGCTGCAGTCTCTTCTTAAAGACAAAGGTCTTGAATGGTTTAGCGCTTAGTGTTCTCAGCACAACAATGCAACTTAGCTCACAAGGTACTTTGGCAACTCTTCATCTGAGCAAGAATAGGGGCTTTTGAAAAATCAGGCTTTAAGAAAGCTTACCATTTTAGGGCTAAATTTTAATGTAATGTGAAAGTTTGAAGTCTTACATTTTAAACAAAACCTCAAAATTACTTATTGGTTCACAATGGTTTTATTGGAAAAAGTAACGAAATCTGTAACAAAA